CCACCCGCCGGCGATACTCCTCCGGGCAGCGGGTGCCCGGCGGGCAGTCGCCTGCCCGCTGCCGGCGGCGTCTTCTTTGGGCAGCGGGTAGGTGGCTGGTCCCCCTACCCCCACCTACCCCCCACTGACTCTTTGTCAAAATAAACGTCCCGGGATCCTCCGTGGAACCCGAAACCATGCTTAGACACTTTTAAACGCAAATAACGACACCACGTAGACAAATAATAGATCAAAAGCAAGAATCACATAGAACACATCCTATCATGACTTCTAAACATAAACAACACCCGAACATGCGAATTCCCCCCCAAATATATGTCAAGAACATCACAATACCAATTCCAATTCAACCTAGGGCTCTAATCCCATTCAAATCATCAAAGTCATAGTTTATCTTTAACATCAAGAAACATCAAGATTTATCAAGGATCATCACATAAACATCAAGAACCTCTTATCATCATCAAGATCACACATAAAATCATCTCATCAATTATCAAGATCATATCACAATTATCATAGAAGATTTCATCAAGACACAAGCATATAGAAGGAGCCAAAGAGAAGATTATAGCAAGGAAAATAGGTTTTGTTGAGACATGGGTTACCTCTTAGCCTTAATTAAATTCCTTGGCTATGAAGGGTCTTTCTTTAAGATTTCTTCTTTCTTGATTTCTCCTATGGGAATTCTTGAAAATTCTTGTGTGGTGAAAGTTATTGTGGTATGGGTTCTAGGTGCCTCCTATGCCCCTATTTATATATCTAAGAGTCCTAATTAGGGTCTAAATGGTATGGGCTTGCCAATTCTATTCCTTATAGGACTAAGGGGTTGGTTTTAGGGATAAGGGTCCATGGACTATGGTGGACCCCTTTTTAGCTAATTAATGGATTTTAATTCCCTTTTTAGGGTAAGTAATTAATTAATTAGTTTGGTTTAGGGGTCGTAACACGGGGTGTTACAGCGTGTCATATCCCTGAGGATGACATTTCACACCCGTACACTCACCATCACTCATTTTTGCTGCAATCAAAAATTGGCGCCGTTGTCGGGGATTGGTAATTTGGTGGTTTTATGTGATTGCTTGTTTTACTAGCATTAGAGTTTAAGGAATCTTAGGAGACTAATATTTTTCTTTCTTTTGTTTGTTTTTATTATTTAAAGAGCTAATTGTTTTACCTTGTTTGAGTTTCGGTTGAAAGATCCATACTTTGTGCATACACTCTAGATTCAAAAGGGGGAGCTTTGACCACTCAATCAAGAACTTTCACCATGGATGAATATGCATTCCAAGGAGGATATTATGATTCTCAATCTTATGGGGGTAACCAACATGATGGATATGGAGATCCTTGGCTCCTTGCACAACTCAACCCCCACCTCCTAACCATTACTATGATGCTCAATCTCAATATTTTTGTCCACCACAATTTCACCCCCAAAACTCATAATCTCCACACACTCCAAACTAACAAAATTCTTACCCACCACAATCCTACCAGGACTCACCTTACCATTTCCAAGACCCCCAATATGCTTCATGTGATCAATACCCTCACACCCAACAAACATCTCCATACTCCACATACTCTTCTTACCAACCAAACTCACCTCCACCACCCCAAAATCCATACCATCAAGGCTCATCTCTAAATCATTTTTCCCCAACCACTCAATGCTCACCAAGTGTAAGGAGGAATGGATTAGATTAGGAGACATTAGCATGCTAAGCGTTGGGGAGTCACTATTGTACCCGATGGTGACATTGAGGATGGGGGCTATCCCATGAGACCGAGTGAAGAAGAGTATGCCAATAATCAATGGGAACCTCAAGAGTCACTCTATCAAGAACCTCAACAAGAATGCCAACCATTTGATCAAGATCCCGAGATGAAGTTGATGATGGCCAACATGTTTATGCAAATGAATGAGCTACAAGTTCAAGTAGACAACATGATGGCTCAAATACAAGGTTTGGTAACTCAAGAACCTGTTCAAGATTTGTCTTCCAATGGGGAGGTTCTACAAGAGTTGCTCTTGCCAAACGAAGGTCATGTGGTTGAAGCAAATGAGAAGATAGGTGAGGAGCTCAAAGATAAAGATGAAGATGATGAGGTTTATGATGAATGCATTGAGATGGAAACACCAACTTGGGGAGAGATAATAGGGTTGCAAGGGAATGGTGATAATGAACAACTAGAAAATGGTCTAATTGAAGAAGTGCAAGAAAATGATGTTGTTGAGGAAGAAACAAAAGATGAGAGTGTTGAGGAAGAAAGAGAAGAGAATATGGAAGTTGGTGACAAGGATCATATTGAAAGTTGTTTATTTGAAGAGAATTTGAAGGAAAGTGTAGTTGGGAGAACACAAGGCTTAAATGAGGAACTCCCTTTAATGGAGCACGTTGAGAATTTTAGAAGAGTTTGGGAACCGGGAGGAGTTAATGGTTTTGAGAGTATTGGCCCACATTGGCCGATATTCATATCTAAGGACTCCCAATTCTTATTTGTGAATGACAAAGTCACAATGTTCTCCCTGCTTATTCAAGATGGGAAATGTCAAGAAGAGAAAATGTGTGGAACTCAAGAGAATGATCAAGCTCTTGATTATTATCAAGATCCGAGGTTTAGAAAGAAGACATCATCTGATTTGTGGATTAAAAATGGATTTGAGGAATGGGCATGCTTGAAGTTTGATTTGGATGAGCATTATTTCTTAAGATTTGAAGTGGTGATGTTGAGCTTAAGGGAACATATTGATGGCCACCACTTGAAGAGCTATTTGGAAGAAAAGGTTGAAGAAAAAGAGATGAGGATTGAAGAAGAGAGCATATTCTTGGAAGTGGAACATTGCAATTTTTTTAGGAGAATATGCTACTTTTGAGCTTAAAGGGGTTTCTTAATGCCCGACATTTAAGGCAATTTATTGAAGTGAAAGTGGATAGAAAAAAAGAACTCATCTTCATCCAATCATACATGGATAGTTCCTTGAGAGGTTGAGTCGAGCTAGTGACGTTAAACTTAGCGCTTCATGGGAGGCACCCCATGTTATCTTTAATTTTATTGCACTTTACTTTCTTCTTTATTTTTCTTAGCACTTTTATTTTTGATACATCTTGCTTTCACTTGTGCTTTCATGTCTACATGCTCTTGACTCTAGGAATGACACTAAGAGTATGTTCAATTCCAAGAAGGCTTTATGATGATTCTTTGGCACAAGAAGATTCATTAATTAGGGGAGGCTCATCTACCTTTTCTTCTTTCTTTAATTGCTTATAGTGCTTTACTTGGTGTAGATATTAGAGATTGTGCTCCTTGTGCTTATTGTGCTATCCTTCCTCCCTTGTTCTTTGTTGTCTTAAGCGCAGTGGGGTGGCGACCGACTTCATTGTTCAAAAAATGTTAGCTGCCATGGTGGCGGTCATCACCATCTGTGACACAGACAGTGCGTCATTAAATCGTAGGGGTACCTTAGGATGTTGTTCGCGGCTTCCATGGTTGCATCCCGGTTACCGCTTCTTCTTCATCGGACTGTAGTGGAGAAGGGGAAGAACCTTTCATCCTCACCGCTGCAAGTTCAGGCGGCAATACTGTCCTGGTGTCACGCAGGGGATTCTACTGCAAATTTCCCCTTGTTTCCGGTCGAGCGGCGGAGAAGCAGATGGAGGAGAACAGACGCGTAAGGCATTGACGCTAGCTGTTCTTGCCACTCCTGTTCGATCTAAGGCGTGCGTTAAGGGGCTTCGCGGCTGCCATTTATTTTCTTCTTCTACTTCCGGTTATTCGTTGTGAGCTTCGCCGCTGGAACAAAAGGATCCGGTGATGCTTGGAAGAAGACAGACGAAGGAGTAGTGGAGTATTGCCTATTGTTTGGTACATTCCTTATTAAGCAATTTACTTTTATTATTTTTTTTACCATAAATATTTGTTTTATTTAATATTACATATTAATTATGGTAAATGGTAATTATTTAGTTTATTATTACCATATTTATATTACCTAATTTAATATTGTATATTATTTTGGCAAATGGTAAATGTATAGTAATTGCTTGTTTTGGAATATTGATGTCCTTTAGTTTCATTTTTTTTTTTTTTTTTTTGCATCAAATTCATTATGAAATTATCATTCAATTCGGAGCAAATATTAAATTTTAATTTAATATTTTTTGAGAATAACAACTTAATTCATTAAATCATCAGCAAGACAACGAATAAGAAAAGGAGGACGGACATCAAGTCACTCCCCGCAATCTGACACAGAAACGACCCCCCTAGCAACAGCGTGGGCGGCGCGATTCGCAGATCGCGACAAAACTAAAACCAACATCCATAATAGATGATGCTAATTCTTTTAATTTGCTATTTGAATTTTAATTTAATATTAAGGTGCAGATTAAATTGTCTAAATTATACCAAGACTATATGGTCTAATAGTACCCGGGTTGGACTTCCATTTGGAAGGTTGTGAGTTTGAGCCTTAGTGGAGACATTACTGGTTCTTTATGTTTCAGTAGGTTGAGAAAGTATATAAACAGATACCACATTGTGATAAAGCCAGTACCATCCAAAAAAAATATTGTCGAAGCATGTGGCATCCAACCATTTTACCGTCAAACTTTGAAGCGTTTTTGGAAAAGTTACAATCATTTTCTTGTGTAGTAGTCCTTTGACAAGCTGTAGTAGTCCTCTTCGTCGGATCCTAATCAACTTATTCCTGTGGTAATCAGTCTGTTTTTCTGCTTCATTGAAGATTTGATGAAGCCTGAGCAGGCAAGCTGTTACATGAAGACTATCCTTTGCTAGACAAATGGCAGTCAACTCCATCTCAATCCTTTCTTCTGCTTTGAACGATGCATCTCTCATCTCTGCCTCTAAATCTTTCATCATCCTCACCCTCGCATCATCATAGGGGATCTCAGATTTCTCAAGACTTTGTTGCAGCTGTTGGATATAATCCATTCAAACAATCGGCCTTAATTATTGGGGAGCCAACAAATGACTTCCATCATTTGTGTACATGATGTGGCTAAATGACCTTTTGTCATTACCACTTCCCTTGCTTGTAGCTATTGTGTAGTTGGGACAAAAGGTGTCTTCACCTTCCTACACACTATATAAACAAGCAAGGAAATCTTGTCTAAAGGCAAGAAAAAAGCTTCTTCCTTCTTTCTATATAAGAATTAATATATATTATAATATAATATATATAATTCGTGTCTATCGGTTAAGGCCTGAGCAATAGTGAGGTTCGCCTACGTGATTGCTAGTGCAAGCTATCCGTAGTAGGTCTGTGTAGCCTGTCGAAAGCGTGCCAGGATTCTAACTGCACCGTTACTGGGCAAATAACGCTTTTAAGGTAGTGTTATTGTAACACGGCACAGATTTCCTTTCAACCATACACCAATAGTGTCCGTGCTTCTTAAAAGGCTTCCAGATCGTGCGTTGACGTTGCTATTTTCCCCAACAGTTAAAAGCGTTATTGTGCAACAGTCAACCTTTAGCATTATGGCACCTTCTGTCATACCGGATCTATCAAAAATCACCGCGCTTGATGGGAAAAATTACAGCAGGTGGGCTCAAAGAATGCTTATTCTTTTCGAACAATTAAAGTTGGTTTACGTGCTATATTCAGTTGCACCTGAACCTACTCCAACAGTGTTCTCTCCGTTTGGTGCTACAAAATGTAATCATGAACCTGATTACACTCCGGGTGAAAAATCGAGAGAAAGCAGTCCTGAAATAGATTACATTCCGGGTCAAGAACCGGGTGTAACTCTGATTCAATTTATAATTGACAATGCGGCAGCCAGAGGATACCTGCTGTCACAAATGAATGACGATTTGTTCGACATCTATGTCAAACAAAATTCGGCAAAAGTCATTTGGGAATCACTGTCAGGAAAGTACGGTGCCAATGGAACTGAAAATCAAAGTGTCAGAACCGTCTACAACGAAAGGAGTAGAAAAATCAAGAAGTTTAAAGGAAGGTGTTTTGCGTGCAGAAAGCAAGGACACCGAGCACACCAGTGCTACCATCACAAGGGCAAAACTAGCAAAAGTCAATCTGACAGAGCAAGATGAGTATTGAGTCTCTTTAAATAAATAGTTATTTTGAGTAACTATGTTTGCTCTAGTTCTAAGGGTTCGCATGAAGTATGGTTATCTTAGTACTGAATTCTAGTTGAGCTGTCTAGATTTTGATTACTTAGTAGTACTTATTTCTTTAGTATTTTGAATACTAATGACATTGATTGAAATAATTCGTGCATAGATATTGCTCAAACTTTTTACTAAAATTATTTGTATAAAAAATAAGAGCATATATCATAGGCTTCAATTGTAATTTAGTGAGAACATGGAAAAGTCATTATTTTTGAACACTCTGTCTAGGAAGATGGTTTTTAAGTAAACTTCGGTTTCACCACTCGACATGGGAGTTTTAAGAAGTAGGATGTTGATCATGCAGGCTAGTTAGAGCGCCACTTGATCTTTACCTGAAATGAGGATGACTTTCATATGTTGCTAATACAATCAAAGCCTTGCAATAGAAGTTGTTGAAGTACTGCAATAGTAATATTGATCTGCATCCTATGAATGCTTTATATGAGCTTTAAATTCCTTAAGGGAAGGAAAAAATTGTGCTAGTGGCAACTCTGAAGTCTAATTGTTGAGAGATATTCCGAATAAATATGAACTCAAACATATTCCTTTTGTATGAGATTAATTTCTTATATGAATATGATGTGAAATTTGTGATTATGTTGTTCAACTTGATGTAGCATGTGGACAACATTATTTCTATGGCTTACTAACAATGAGCATTTGTATATATATTATTTAAACTCTTGGTTGAGTCATATTGAAATACCTATAATTCCTAGTTAAAGGGTAATTGTGATCAATTGAAATAACCAAGTTTGTTGAAATATATTCAACTGTTGAGCATGTATCAGGCAGAGTGCGAAGCTTCTATAATGCTCCACAAAGCAAATCGGCAAAACTCAGTCTACAAAGGAGCTAAAGTTGGGAACCAAAGATCAGTCTGAGTAAGAGATCAAATACGTTTGACAAAAATATTTGTAAGTGTTGCATTGTGGGGGTAATAAACTCCTTATATTTTCATCAAAAGTTTCTCTGTGGTATTGATCGAGAATAATGATGAAAGAGAATGTTTCATGTTAAACATGAAAATCTCAAGGGATTATTTACGAGTAAACGAAGTACTCGTCAAAGTGCATGTAAGTTTGGTCAAGAGAATCAACTTACTTGAGGGCTAATTATGAGGATTAGTCGTTGACTCATTGGAAGGACTTAAAGTCCAAGTGGTAATGAATTCGTGGTGGATCCCACTTCTGTGGTCAAACGAAACCATGAAAGGAGTTACAAAATAGTACACTAGTTGGTCATTCCGACAGTGTGTGTACCTGTGAGGTTGAGCTACAGCTCTTAATGAATTCATAACTCTTTGAGAAAGGGTGGTCTTGTTGAGACAAACTTAATGAATTCACCGCATGTGAGGTTGAGCTACAGCTCTTAATGAATTCATAACTCTTTGAGAAAGGGTGGTTTTGTTGAGACAAACCTAATGAATTCACCGCATAATGACATGAGTACAAAGTGCTCGTGGTGCCCATAGATACTCTGTAGCCAGTCATGGTGGTCTGCGTTGAGATAGACTTGACGGAGTTGAAGGTCTATCCTAGAATAGACCTAACAGGGGATATCTCAGGGTCAAGAGTATGACCTCACATATTTTAAAGCGACCAAAGCAAATTAAGTGCGTTAAGTTCAAACTTTGTCTATTCGATGAGTTCAAGATCAAATTCACTCCCGTTTAGAGAAGTACTTAATGTCACTATATGACAGTTCAAGTTTTATACACTGGCATGAAAATTTGTTTTGATCGTTGTCAGGCAATGACAACATCAGCCTAAGTCCCTTAATGGTGGGGGATTGTTGGGAGCATTTAAAAGGAAAGGCTTCCTTTTGCCTATCCATGTTGTCCCACATTGGAAGTTTAGCCTCTTATACTCAATTGGGATGGTCTATGTTGAGATAGACCTAAAGAGACCCCTAACTTGAGTAGAAAAGGGCTAACCGCCTCTTATGAAAGATAATGGGGTTATCTCAAGAAGCTGAGTGGCTAAGAAACATGGTGATAACCGTGTAATTGTGGGGGTGTCCAACACCTTCACCACATTGTGATTCACAAACTGTCATTTGCGTTGCCAATAACAGTGCCTGTGATAGAAAGAAAAGACTTACAACTGATTTATGTCTTTAACTACTCTATAAGCCTTTAATGGTGGTCTATACTGAGATAGACCTGATAGAGTTAAAAGTCTGTATTGAGATGGACTTCACAAGACGCAAAATCTATAATGTTGTAAGACTTGTCAGAGTTAAAAGTTTATGTTGTGATAGACTTTGACAGGGTATAGTAGAAGTCTATATTTGAGACAGACGTAACATTCTTTAATACTAAGGGTGTTCATAAGAAGTCAAAGAGTTTGACTTTTGTAGGACCTGCTTTTTGAGTTGGTGTGTGCATTCGAGTTCAAAATTTATCTAACCGGTGAGTTCAAGGTTCACATCACTCTCGGGAAGAAAATTACTCAGTGTCACTACGTGTCAGTTCAAGTTCTCAATCACTGACATTAAGATCAACTCATTTGTATTGCTCAGACATTACCTTCTTCTAGCCTCTACTTTGAATGTGTGGGGGATTGTTGGATATAATCCATTCAAACAATCGGCCTTAATTATTGGGGAGCCAACAAATGACGGATTCCGTCATTTGTGTACATGATGTGGCTAAATGACCTTTTGTCATTACCACTTCTCTTGCTTGTAGCTATTGTGTGGTTGGGACAAAAGGTGTCTTCACCTTCCTACACACTATATAAACAAGCAAGGAAATCTTGTCTAAAGGCAAGAAAAAAGCTTCTTCCTTCTTTCTATATAAGAATTAATATATATTATAATATAATATATATAATTCGTGTCTATTGGTTAAGGCCTGAGCAATAGTGAGGTTCGCCTACGTGATTGCTAGTGCAAGCTATCCGTAGTAGGTCTGTGTAGCCTGTCGAAAGCGTGCCAGGATTCTAATTGCACCGTTACCGGGCAAATAACGTTTTTAAGGTAGTGTTATTGTAACACGGCACAGATTTCCTTTCAACCATACACCAATAGTGTCCGTGCTTCTTAAAAGGCTTCCAGATCGTGCGTTGACGTTGCTATTTTCCCCAACAGCAGCAAGCCCAGATTTTGATGGAGAGAAACTATCTTTTGTTTGACTTCAAGCCACCTCCCAGAGCCAAGAAGTCAAAAGTATAGTATCCCAAGGAAGCTGCTGATTTCCATAAATCCTGGGGAAGCAAGCCTTTGTATGAAGACGCGTTGATGACGCTTCTTCGTCCAACTCCATTATCTCTCTTATCCGAACCTCAAGATTTTGTTGCAACACGCCAAGATTTTCATTTTTGGCATCTCTGAATCTCTGATCTGTGCCTCTAAATCTGCAAGCTGTTGCAGCTTTTCACTTTTAATCAACTTCTTCTTCTTGGGGTAATAATCAGTCCATTTTACTGCTTCATTATTGAAGAAGACGCTTGGTCCAACCCCATCTCTCTCATCTCAGCCTCTGCATCATCATTGCCAATCTCGGATTTCACAAGAATTTGCTGCAGCGAGCCAATATTTTCATTAGTGGCAGTTGCCTAGCTTCTTTCTTTCTTGTCCTAATTGCAATTTTAGTCCCTAAATTATAGGACAAGCGCAAGTGTAGTTCTTAATTATCATAATTTATAAATTTGGTTCTTAATTAGTCTTGAAAATGATTTAATTTGTGGTTCAAAAAAAATATTAGAAACCTCAATTGTAATTTTTATAAACGAGTATTTTAGTCTTTTGATAAAGAATATACCTTGGTGTACCTACTCATACGTACTGAGCATCTGCTCGGATCCGACTCTACATGTAGTGAGGAACTTTTCCCGACGTGATTCTACGCCGAGAGAGTACTGACCAATCGTGTTGGGTAAATAAGGTGGAAAAAATCTAAAAAATAATAATCCTATGAAAAGATTATTATTATATGGGAAAAGCAAAAAAACAGGGAAGGGAAAAGGTGGATGATTTGGGTAGTGGTTAGCACGAGTTTGAACAAATCGTTCTTTTCCTTATAATCTTATTTGCTACCTCCACAACTGCTAGGAGCGTTGTAGCCTAGGTTTCCCAGGATAAAACATGCTATAATTCACTGTTTGAGCATCCAAACAATGAATCCTGAGAACAAAGCAAAGATAGAACACAAGAAGCTAAAGAAAGAGTAGAAGCAGAGTTTTGGAAGCTAAAACGTAGTGGAATTCCTTGGATTTCTTGTTGTGTAAAAAGTTCCTGCCCTACCTCTCTTTATATAGGGCTGTTGGAGTGATATCATTCAACATGACAATTAAATTGGTATTAAAACCAATTGTGTAACACCTGCAACAGCCACCCACTAAGAGAAAAATTAAATTCAGAATTCAAAAATTGGAATTAAAAGAATATTAATTCCGTAATGGATGAATTTAATCTTCACAATTGGTTTTAATACCAATTTAATTGCTGGTGGTATCATTTTCCAACCAATATAGCCACTGGTGGTATTAAACGATTTTCTTTTCATCTTTATTTAATTATTTATGATGATTATGATTAGGTAAAATTTTTCCCTAATCATTTTGCTTTAATATATATAGAGATAGAGATAGAGAAGAGAAGAGAAGAGAAGAGATAGAGATATAATATATAATATATAATATATTTTATAAATTAATGATATAGACATGTTATGTTGACTAATTTAATAATTATGTTGATGTTGATTTGATTTGTAATTAAAATTACATGAATTTATAAATTAATGTGAATACAATAAATGCTTTCACACTTTGAAGGGAAAAATTTTCCCGAATCATTTTTCTTTAATATATATAGAAATAGAGATAGAGATAGAGATAGAGATAGAGATGTTTTTCATTTGCAGAGTTGGCGGAGTGCTGAACCTAGTTCTTCCCTTATTAGCTTCTTACCATTCTTGTAATATTTATTTATTTCAACTTTCATTCCAGTTTTGTGAATATGTGATTTTTTGCTGAATACTAAATTGTGATTTGTGAGACAAATTGGCAAGTGAAAACTGGGACAATGGCTTGACAACAAGAAATATTACTGCCCTTGATTCCTTTTCATAAATTCCATATATGAGGCCCGTTGACTGCCTTGATTAAAAAATAGGTATCAATATCAGTGTAGTAGACCTTTAAGACTTTTACCTTATTCATTGAATCTTGAGTGCAATATGGTCTTATAGTCATTTGATTTGGTATATCACTCACCCTTATTCTCATTTTGTTCTTAGTTCTTAAATCTTGACTTCTTTGTTTTTACTAATTATTATTTTACTAACTCCAGTTGTTGCCAATGGTTATGATGATGCTTCACCATTTTTCTGAATCAAAAGATTTTGGGTTGGTATGTTACTCATGAGTTTTTGGTTTTATTCCAAAATTCAAGTAACAATCTGCCCCCAATCTTATTTTGATATGAAAAAATAACAATCTAAGTCTTTTTCCTTTTTCAGCACTACTGTAAATCTGTAATTTCTATAATAGATTTATTTAACTTGTGTTTGTCTTTTATAGTGGTGGCTATTAACTAATGATTTTAAATTTGAACAGGAAGATGGCGAGTGTTGAGTCGTTGTTGACTGCTAACTGCCAAATGATGTTGATTTTGTGATTCATGAAGTTGTTGTAATTTGTAAACATAAAATTTGGAGTTTTGGACAATATAACTTTGGAAAATGTAATTTTGTATATTTCTAAATTTGTATTTTGGTTTTTGTATATTTTTGAACTTTTAAGTTACTTCACTTAATTGCCTTTAACAATTAAGTTGTAAGTTCTAACAGGAAATTTGTAAGTTAAGTTCACTTAATTAGTTGTAAGGTTGATCTTCAAGTAGTTTAGTTTGATTGTTTTATTATTATTTTTTTAATTCGAACAAAATTGAAATTCGATAAAAATCGATCAAACCCAAAAAATGTTTATCCAATGTGATTAACTACTAAAATTAAATGGATTGGATATATATATAATAAAAATCAAAAATCAAACGACTTGATGGTTCATAAAACCAAATCATCCAAACCTAACCGCTGCACAAGGCTAAAAATCATGGGCTTCCCCTTAATGTGTGCAGGGATAGTCCTCTAGCAAATTATTACGTGTACTGTGATCCACAGAGTTGTGTGGACCATGGATCAAAACGACGTCGTTTTGATGTAAAGAAAAAAAATTCCACTAATCAATAATGATGTGATTTGCTCAACCGTTTATCACCACTGGAAATTATGGAATTTCCTACCACCTGAAAGTGATCTTAAATCAAGTTAAAAGCCTTGTTCCGACCACTTTTGGTATCCGGAAAAACCTTTGTTGATATTTCCGACCACTTTTTGCTTTTAACTTGATTTAAGATCACTTTCAGGTGGTCGGAAATTTCATAATTTTCAGTAGTGAATGTATTAGAATAACGAACCTTCTGTTATAAGATAATGTATTTTATAAGTTAGAATAATATACTTTATGCTTTAGAATAATATACTTTATGTGTTAGAATAATGCACTTTATATTTATGTGTTAGAATAATAAACCTTTTATGGTAAGATAATGTATTTTATGAGTTCGAATAATGTACGTTATGAGTTAGAATAATGTACATTATGTGTTAGAATAATATACCTTTTGTATAAAATAATGTATTTTATAAGTTATAAAAATATATGTTGCAACAGTGGAGAGGAAAATGCAGGTCGGGTGAAAAATTATTGCGCGACCTAACAACATCGTCTCTAATGAGGAAACGGTGTTGTTTTTGGACCATAGTTTGAGTTGGGCTTCTTTTGCTATTTATTTTTTGATGTCTTTTTGGCAAATTATGGTCCACATAGTCCATAATGACGTCATTTTGATGTTTAAAAAAAAAAAAATCTTTACTTGCTCGCGTGTTAGAATAATTAATATTTTGGGGTAAGATATATAATGTATTTTATGATTAAGAATAACAAAAGTTTTGGAAAAAAATAATGGTAGCTTAGTAACAAGACTATTTGTTACTTGTACTTTTTCAGCAACTAACTTAGTTTTTATACAATTTTTGCCCTTCATTGGTGTGCTTTAACGATAAAGAAGCGTTCTTTGGTTGAAGTTGATTCGCTCGTTCTTGTTCGCATTGTTTCCTCGTTATCGGCAGAGATCCCGTGGAAGATTAAAGAAGTTGTTGTCTTCATTTGCTCTTGCCTTATGTCATGGGGCTCTACCTTAACGCATGTCTATCGGGAGGCTAACCAGGTGGCTAACGCTCTTGCCTCGGAAGATCTCGGTTGTGGCTCGCCCTCTATTTTTTGCTCTTTAAATTCTTTACTTGTAAGGGTCAAACTAGTTTGGTTGTATGATCTTTGGGGTTTCGCATCCCATCCACTTATTCGTTTTTTGAATGCTACTCACTTATTCGTTTTTTGAATGCTACTCACTTATTCGTTAATAATACTGATTTCCTTTCAAAAAAAGTCTAAGCTAGGAAACATTGACAAAATTTTAGAATTTGACAAAGTCAACATAGTACATAATTTTGTGTTCAAGTACAAAGATGTATCTCACAAAATATTGTCCAAGACACCTATAATACTATCAGTTGTCACCAGCATTTTCAACAGCATGCATTATCACAACTCCTTTTGATCTTCCACCACCATAACTCCAATATTATCCTCAGCATTATCTTTGACAGTCCACACCAAAATTTACAAACAAATAAAGTACAAATACAGAGATGTTTTCCAGACATATCATATCTTGATAGGTATTTATTACATTTGTAAGGGCGTCTCAATCCCTTCTCCCCTTACATCCCCATTTTGTGGGCCCAACTCCGATCCTCCAGATCACCGTGTTTTCCCCTCCCTTATTAGCAAATCTCTTACACAGTTCCCACATCCAGCAATGCTATGGCAGCATCCATCAGATCTCTGAGAAGCCCGCATAGACGGCAATTTATATCCTACACCATGGCGCACGTTGCATTATGCGTCCAGATGCAAAACGACGTTGTTTTAATTTTTTTTTTTTTTGAAATCCCCCCCCCCCCCCCCCCTCCCAGTGAATGGCAGTAGTTTTTTCTTTAAAAAAAAAACCCGCTGTTCAAGAATGTACATAATGTTATACTAGAATACACATAATTGTATACATGAATGTACATAATTATATAACAAAATATACATACTCTTTTTAAAAGATAATACACATAATCTAACATAATACATAATAAACATAAACTTTTAACATAATACACATCAACTCTTAACATAATACACACAAATTTTCTGATTCGGATGTACATAATTGTATAAAAAGAATGTATATAATTGTATAAAAAATGTACATTACTGTATGAACCAATACACATAACTTTGTGAACAAATACACATAACTTTGTGAACAAATACACATAATCCCAGCAACTTTCTACCGGGCCTCCCAAAACGACGTCGTTTTGGGAGGCGCGCGGCGCACAGTGCTATGTGCGTCGTGGTGTAGGGTATAACGATTGCGCATAGACCATTTCAGCTCACTATGCACATTCAAAATTTGTCATGTCTTCCTGCAATTTCTCCAGGCCTTCCTATATATACTTTCAAAAAGTGAAGAGCAATAAGCTTAATTCATTTTTTTATTTGACACAGTACAGAAAAACAACCAAAATAAACAGTAGTTATATGTACTCATACAACATACATACCTACTGCTATTCATTCATTTGTGATCACTTCCTCCTCAATCCTTTTACCATATATCGTAAGTCTGAAAACAATAAATTCGGTAAAAAGAAAAGGTGAACACAGTTAGATAGATAAGGAAATATGATATAGAAGTGAGAGAAAACAGATCAGATAGATGATTATCCATTGCAATCACAGCCATGAAGAATTCAAGTAGTATGAAGTGCATGTTAAATGGTGAGAGATATATCATAGGGATAGAAAGAGACCAAAATATTTTCGGAACGAACAAGGAGGGCATCGTTTCCATAGATGTTGTTTTGCTCTTCTTGAATCCACTTTGCAGAAGCCAAAACGGAATCCCCACATTTGCTTAAATGAATCAATGTTAGAGTGGTGATATCGGCAAAACCACGAGGGATTTCTTTCAACCAATAGCTCTCACTTATCTCTAAACATTCAAGCACAGGGAAATGGTCACCCACAACATTCCAATATTGGAGACATCTGCTTTTAATTACCAACCTCTTCAATCGACGGAATCCTTCATCATATGTCTCCCACTTTTCACCTGTGCAAGCATGTATCAGTTTTAGAACCTCCAGATTAGGTAACATACTAATAGGGCTCAGCTCACTCCACTGCAGATAAGACTCCAAGATGCTCAGCTTCTTAAGATTTGGTAAACTAGTTGCACATGGGAATTGGCTCAATGGAATATGTTTGAGATAACCCCAATGTCTGATGCTTAGTGTCTCAACCTGCCCCAAGTGCACAACATTATAAAACCAATCTAGATTATTAACATAATTTCCACCATCAACCCCCAATTTTTTAAAATTCGGAAGCATTGTAAACATATCCTTTGTACATAACTTAGAATCCAACCAAGATATATTCTCTAAGTTTCTATGAACAACCGACGGGCTTTCTAATGAAAAAATTCGTCCAATGCAAAAATTCTTTAATAATGGCATTTTCCAAATTCTAGATGTCTCAGAGGAATCCATTGTAACACCAGCCCCACAAACAATAAAACTTTGCATATTCCAATGCTCAAAGAGCTTTACATCAAAATTATTAAATATAGACAAAGCTAAGTATCTCAAATGAACAAGATTTTCAAGCACATTTAGTGCCATATCTCCTTTTGAAAGTGTACCTCTTATGTCTACTACTCTTAGTAGTTTCAAGTGTGAAAATAGACAACGAGGTTCCACTGAATGCCAATAATAGTCAAGATGTTTTAAGAGAAAGGAATGAGATTTATGAAAGCACTCATCTTCAAACCTGACATCAGTACAGAGAGATGTTGATATATGACTTATCCAACGACAAGGTTTTTTAATTCCAATGACATTCAAGAGATTTTCAAGTCTAGCTTCTCTTAAGCACAAATCTCGCAACAGATCATGGATCCCTATCCTCTTCATTTCCCCATTGTAGCTTTGTTTGCTAACTATGACAAGACTTCTATCAACAAGATAGATCTTGCAATCATTCCATGGCCACTTTCTCCATATTCACATTTTTCACAGTGCTAAAAAATCCCTCTGCCACCCACAACCTAACCAACTTCTTCACAGGGATCTCATAATCTTCCTCAAAATTTCCAAAATATAAAAAACAAGCTTTTAAGTGATGGGGTAATTGGTTGTAACTCAGATATAGTATTCTGGAACATGCATCATTAGAATCATCAGTTACACTTTTTGCAACAAATTTCCACTTCTTATCCTCCTCCTCTGTATTGGAGAGAAGACTAGCTACTACAGTAATAGCTAGAGGTAATCCTTTACATTTCTTCACTATGTCTCTACCAATTTGCTCAAACTTTGAAGTAAATTCTATTTTACCAAACACTTTGCAATAGAGACTCCAACTTTCATCGGCATCTAAGAAAGGCATGTTAATGATAGAGTTACCTGAGCTAGCGTATTTAGCCACCTCTTTGAGTCGAGAAGTCAATAGTATACAACTTCCATCATTATCATCTGGGAAACATCTTTGAACACTATCCCAAGCAGTAGTGTTCCATATATCATCAATCACTATCACATATCGCTGACCTTTCAAACATTTATACAGCCTTTCAGCTAATTGGTATAGGTCAGTGCTCTGTTCATGGAGTTCATCTCTTGAAGCTGCAATAACACAACCAATAAGGCATAGGAGCATTCGTTCCAAGTTATACTCTTGCGATACAGGAACCCATGCTCGCTTGTCGAAATGAGAAGTAATTGATGGATCTACATAAAGTTTGTGTGCTAAAGTGGTCTTGCATATTCCTCCCATGCCAACAATGGAAACAACTTGTCTCCGCTTAGTTGATTTCTGCGTGAGCTTATCCAATATCGTCATGAACACCTCGTGGCATCCCACCATTCTACTGTCCAACTTTGAAGCTTTTTTGGAAAATTTATGCACAATAGTGTTCTTGTGTGCTAATCCTTTCACAAGCAGTAGTCCTCTTCGTCGCATCCGACCTAGGAGTGAAACATCATCAGTGATTGTTTCATTTTGTGATGAAGCCTTTCCAAGCCTAATCATCAACTCTCTGCAAGCTGCTTTTCACTTTTAATCATCTTCTTCTTCTTGGGGTAATATTCAGTCTGTTTTATTCCATGAAGCCTGGGGAGGCAAGCCTTTATACATCTAAGATTTTCATTTCCAGTTGAAGACGCAGACGCTTTGTCTACTTCCATTGCCATATCCTCAAGAATTTGTTGCAGCAAGCCAAGATTTTCATTGCCATCTATCATATGTGCCTCTAAATCGTCAAGAGTGAAGCTTGGTTTTGATTGTACATACATCATCATTCTAAATTTAGCTTCTTTCTTTCTTGTCATAATGGCAGTTTTAGTCCCTATATTATAAGATAAACCATATTGTACTTCTTAATTAATTATCATAATTATTTATAAACTTGGCTCTTAATTACTCACAAATATTAGTTAGTTTATCGTTCAAAAATATATTAGAAACCAAAACAGTAACTTTTATATGCGACTATTTAATTTGGTCCTTAGAAAGACCAAAATAGTCACTTTTGTGACTAATTGATGAGAGACAAAATTACAAGTCATGATAATTAAGGACTAAAATTATACTTAAGTCTATAATTTAAAGATGAAAAGTACAATATTATTCATTCTTTTTTTTTTTTTTTTGACTTATTATGAAAAAAAAAAAATCCAAACCTCAAAATTATATTCAAACATTTAAGTGTTTGACAATTTTATATCAAGCATTTGTATCTTATGACAATTATATTAATTGACACAAAAAATAATACAACTCTTTTGGTTTAGATATTAGTTTGGTGGCTATATATATATATATATATATATATATATATATATATATATAGAGACTCATGGGGATATTGTCCAAACAACCCCGTAAGAAAACGGAAAAGGAAACAAAAATAAAAGATTTTTTTTGGGTGAATCAGTCAGAGCAAATTTGAGAAGACACTCTACAAGAAATGGCTCCAAACGCATCTAAACTTGAAGGCCGGCGGCGACTCCAATGTAAACGGGAATGAGTCCAAACAAACATACATCATTCTAAAATTAACTTCTTTCTTTCTTGTCATAATTGAGGTTTTAGTCCCTATATTATAAGACAAACCATATTGATGGAATTAATTAAACCGGGAGTCTGAATTAATTAACCCGAATAAATGTAACAAGTATATAATTGAACGGTAATAGGGGTACGAATATAGTCACGGAGACTGATATTGTATTAATTGTGTATGATCAAGCTATTACAAGGAGAATGTAATGTTGTTACAAGTAGTAGTTTAGGACAAAAGGTAGAACATGATTTGTAATGCCAAGACAACGCAATATTTATACAGGACATGAGCCAACAAACTTCCCTAAAATCATGGTAAGCCACCAGACTAAGTTAAGGCCCACCTATTAAGCCCATGAAACTAGGTCAAGGCCCACCATTCTGGGCCTCGGTCGCTTGGGCTATGCACTCCTAGACCTGGGTCCCTATTATTGGGCCATATATTTCCAATATATCCATCATCAGTCCCCCACTCTCTAAGTTGCGAGAATTCGACAACGAGAGAGAGTAAATGTTTGGCCCAATAATTGAAACCGCTCGAGGCTCCAGGCTTGGATGAATGCTTCAGGATCAACTTGAAAAAGTATTTTCGCTTATTCCAACACCTTCTAAGCTTTTAGCTTTGTGATCTGAGTCGTCTTCGCTCGATAGCCATCTGTCCGGACGACGCGGGGTCGCTTATTAAATTTTTGTTCGCATAATTTTGTTTTAAAATTTTAATTTTTTTTCCTTTTGTTTTTTGTTTTGTTTTTTTTTTTGTTTTGTTTTTTTTTTTTTGTTTTTGTTTTTGCGTAATATGTGTAGTGGCTTGGTTAAGGATACCCCTTGATCCAAGAACTCTTCCGTCGGGTGGTGAACGAGGTCGGGCCTCGTGCCCACTTAGGGTAGCCCGTCGGCCCCAAGTCACCGGACTTGGTCCGTTAAGCTCTTCCGTCGGGGTTGGTACGCGAGGTCGGGCCTCGTGCCCCCCTTAGGGTAAGCCCGTCGGCCCCAAGTCACCGGACTTGGGCTGTTAAGCTCTTCCGTCGGGGTTGGTAAGCGAGGTCAGACCTCGTGCCCCCTTAGGGTAAGCTCGTCGGCCCCAAGTCACCGGACTTGGTCCGTTAAGCTCTTCCGTCGGGGTTGGTACGCGAGGTCGGGCCTCTTGCCCCCTTAGGGTAAGCCCGTCGACCCCAAAGTCACCGGACTTGGGTCGTTAAGCTCTTCCGTCGGGGTTGGTATGCGAGGTCAGGCCTCGTGCCCCCTTAGGGTAAGCCCGTCGGCCCCAAGTCACCCGATTTGGGCCGTTAAGCTCTTCCGTCGGGGTTGGTACGCGAGGTCGGGCCTCGTGCCCCCTTAGGGTAAGATGAAGGGTCGGGTAAGTACCCCTTTCCCCCTTCAGAAAGGTAAAATTTGACATACTCGGACTAATTTTGCAATCGACCAAATACATCGATATAATAATGGATCGTTAGGTGGACCAACGTATATGTAATAAGCCAAAAATATAAGCTCTTCTATTAGGTGGTGAGTAGGGACGAGCTTCGATTCATATCACCGCTAAGGAATGTTAAGGTCGGGGACGGTGAGCACGACCGTAACCATAGCTTGATTATTTCGCCTATCGCTAGGAGAGGTCGAACCTCGCAACGCCACTAGGGAGAACATATGTCAATGCTTGGAGCCGAACCACCATCGAAAAGTAACTAAATAAAATGCTTTGAGTTTCCAAAATGGATCTGCACCCCTTAATTTGAGTGACAACGTCAAGATCATTTTTTAAGGTGGGCTTCCCCAACATCCAATGTCTCACATAGATTTTCTTGATAACCAGAAAGATCTATATTATGAGACCACTATCTCAATTCCAAATCTCCAAATAAATAATATAGTTAGAGTTCCCCACATAGCATAGCAGTCCGTCAATTAACATATATAATTGGATTATTCAAGATTCAAGAAACTTAGGTAACATTATATATACATACCCATATGTTGGAAATGCGTGCATGCATGCATACATATATGTTGTTCCATCTCCTTTGCTGCTGGCATGAAAAGCATTCTTTCTGAATCAATTTATGGAGCATTTAAATGAATTAGCTCACAAAGAATATTTGGCTTGTATTGTGAATAGGCAAAGGACAGCACTATGATTAATTTCGTGGCCCCTAGTATATCAGAACCTCCCAGATTGAGAAACTAAGACCTGCAATGCTATTCGTCGTTTCCTGCAGCGCAGCCTTCTCATCTGTAACCTCAGCAGCGGAACGATTTTCAGTTTTTCAAGAACAGATTTACCCATCTCACCGACGCGTTCACCCGTCAGAGATCGAATAATAATAAAAAACAAGAACATTGCCATTCTGGGCATGTGTTCCTTGATCTTGGTAGCCATGGCGGCGGCTACTGCGATCGGCATCCAAGAATCCAGTGAAGCCGCCGGCGACGGTATTACTACGTCCCAGAAAGAAAGCCATGTAAACAAGTTGCCAGCATATTACTCGCAAACAAATTGGTATTTGTATCAACAGTCTCTCTAAATCAAATGCTGCGAAGTCAGCAATACAAATCTTAATTAAAAGAGCTCATTCAAGCCGCTTTCAACGTCAACCTTGATGACATTCGGCATTCCTTGTATAATCCTAGCATTTTGAACGATCTCCGATCGAGATGATAAGTGGCCGGAGAGCGGCGAGTGTTCTAAGGGTGCAAAGCTGCACACGCGTCTCTTCCCCGATTCAAGTCAGCTTCGAGAGCGACAACATATTCTTCTTGCTTAACCATGAGCTAGTTCTGATCTTGAGCCTCGCTACAAACTCCTCTTCGTCCGATCCAGAGAA